TAGAACTGTCAGCTATCAAATGACATAGCAATAACATAGATGCAAACAACTTTAGTACTTCCAAAAATGAACTAGTGCCATCTGTTGCAAACATGTGTCATGACTTTTCCAACAACCCAATAGGTTTCCTCAGATTTCAGATACTTAGTACTTGCAATACTATGCTCTATTCTCAGTCCCGTTGGGTTACAATCAAGCTTTCTTGACTGAATGGATGACTTTGTGACTATTGTAGGAAACTATTTAACCTGAAATATTTTTCCTTCTATCTTTTTTTACCATAGAGGAGTAAAATGTACATGAACTAGATTGTGCTCCCCTCCCCCATTTTTTTTTTTTTACCACCACCATTAGTAAATTTTAGTGGGTTTCTTGTTTTTATCTTTTTTTGTTTCCCTCTGCCCTACCCTCCTTTTCTTCCAGTTGTGGTATAGTTGGGGTTTTTTTGTTTGTTTTGGTGGTTCAGATGTAAGCAACACTTGGTAACTTGAGTTAAGTTACAATGTGCCAGATATTGTGCTGGATGCTTTAACACATATCTAATGCTTTCATCAACTCTGCAAGATATATAATACTCATAATTTTGTATGGTGATGAAATTAAACATTAATAGGAATTATCTTTGAGTTTTCCATTCTCTGTTCTGCTTTTGCGTTTCAAATCTTTCATTTCTCCATTTGAACCCCTAATGTTGCTAAGTGTAAGAGTACCTTGAAAATATACCTCCATTAAAGAAAAGGGAAGTCATATGTTGCTGAAGTGATAAAAAACCAATGTCATCACCTTCGTACTCGTATATTTTGAAACTACCCAGAAATAGCCTTCATTAGGAGTACAAAATTTTTTCATCCTCTTTCTTTAGGGCAGGTGGGGGAGGAGTGTTTGAGAGAGAGATATAAATGATTAACTACATAGTTTTTCAGGATTGTTTATTACTTTATTTTTTCTAAGCTTTTCAAACATAATCTGTTAGTAAACTGAGGGCTTTCTGGGTTGAAGTAGACATATAACTGGGTTTAATACAATAATTTTATAAAGCAATAATGCTTATTTTTCTGAAATCAAAACTTCCTATTTCTGAAATGCAAATCAAAATGACAATAAGATATCACCTCACTCGTTAGAATGGCCATTATCAAAAAGACAAGAGCCAAGTGTTGGAGAAGCTGTGGAGAAAGGTGAATCCTTGTGCACTGTTGATGGAAATGTAAATTAGTGCAGCCACTATGGAAAACAGTACAGAAATTCTTCAAAAAATTTAAAATAGAATTACCAAATATGGNCTCAGCCAGTGAGAGCACATGCTCCTAACAACAAGGTTGCTGGTTCAACTCCTGCATGGGATGGTGGGCTGTGCCTCCCCTCAACTAAGATTGAACACAGTACCTTGAGCTGAGTGACCACAAGCTGCCAATAGGCGGCCGAATGGCGACTGGACTTGGAGCTGAGCTAGCTGTGCCCTCCACAACTAAGATTGAAGAACAACAACTTGGCTGTTCCCCTTCCCCAATTCCTCAATAAAAATCTTTAAAAAAAAGAAAAAGAAAAAAATAGACTGGGAAGTGAAGAAAGATATTATGGGAGTAGAGGATAGTGCAAGAAAAATCACAGACTTGCCATGGATGAACTAATGTGGAGAACAAAAGATTTAAAAGTGTACTATGAGTGGTAATAGTGCAAAGTGAGGTGAAGTCAAAAGCCAAAATGTGAATCCACCAAAAAGTTGATTCAGAATGTATAAGCCTCTTCCTCCTGAATCCTTTGGTGATTCTCTTTCGTGTTGGGCTTTACTATACAAACGATCTGCAGTGAAAAGAAACCTTTTTAAAAATACACTGTACAGCTGAAACTAATTCTAAAAAATGTATATTTCATAATAAAAAATAATTAAAGGAAAAAAAACACACACACAAAAATGTGAAGATTATAGTGTCAACCCATTTGCAGGCATCAATATTTTGATACCTTTGAAAGTGACATATTTATTTGGGAGTATTAATTAGCTTGGAGCAAATGTTTGATCTCAAGATTACATGGTCTGATGAAATTATCTGAGTCTGTCTTCATTCTTTCCCTTACATTTTTTTCTTTTGCTTCTAGGTATCTGTAATTCTTCCCCACCAAACAAGCCTGCAGACTCTGTTCAGTCAAATAACTCCAGCTCTTTACTGAATTTTGGTATGTGTGTTATTTTCCAGCAGAGTTAAAAAAAAAGTTTATCGAAATTATTCATTTACAGTATAAGAGATACAGCTTTAAATATGATTTGAGGTTAGATGTACAGGTTCTTATATTTATGTTATTTTCCATGCAATTTATCTTTTTATTTTTGACCTCAGCTACTGCTTAACATTTTGCCTAGGACTATGTATTCTATTACATAGAATTTCCTAGCATATGTGGAAAATAAAGCTAGGTAACCAGGTGATTATGTTGACATGTAGTAAATAAATGTGACTAGACAGAGTAAAAAATTTCTGAGATGCTTTAATATTCCAGTTTGTTTCTAAGCAAAGGTCTAAAAAATATAGAAGTATGATAAAAAGAAAAAGCAGTTGCTGCTATCTAATCTTATAGAACTCAGTCACCAGTAGGAGCTCATGTACAATTCTGACAGTTTAAAAGATTTGTTTGTCCAATTACCCCAAGTATAAGCTATAAATGGAAAATTATATTTTTATTTTATTTTAAACATTCTATTCTACATGACATCAATTCATACTATAATTTTTGTAATATGTTTAGCAATTAATGTAGGACATTACTACTCAAAATTATTATTAAACAAAAACCAGACTCCTGAAAGTATCTGGGGACCCCACCTTGAAAAATGCTGCTCTGTGATATTGCCCTTATCTGTATGGTCCAAATTGGGCTGCTGCCATATATCCAGATTGCAGGTGAGAGAAAAACATGGAAGAGATGTGGCCTCCTCTTCTGCTCTTAGGGCATGGGCCTGGAAGTGGCAGCGTCAGGTCAGCTCATGTTCCTGAAGACAACTTAGACATGTGCTCTATCTAAACTGAAAGAGAGACTGGTAAATGTAACAGTGCTGCACAGTTACACACATACAATTCTATTCCTGAGGAAGGAACAGGAATGATTTTGGCAGACAGGTAGCAATGTCTGCCACGCATGGGTCAATCCTTTTCTCACCTTGGTGAGATAATTAACTAGAATCTCTGAATCTTTTTCTTGGGCTCTAAAATTTTATTTGGGTTACATTAACCCTAAGGTTTAAAATGTTATAATTAGGAAAAAAGAAGTTATAATTAGAAAAGTGGTTTTTTTGTTGTTTTGTTTTTAAAGATTTTTATTGGGGAATCAGGGAAGGGGAACAGACAAGTTGCTGTCCTTTTGTTCTTCAATCTAGTTGTGGAGGA